TTTATATTTGATGACGCTGACAAAGTTTTTGGCGAAAGGAGCCTTTATGACTTAGATTCACATTGTGGTAAAGCTTAAGAAAAGAATTTAGATTTTTTTTGAGAATATTTGATGTGCTATCAAAACTCGAAAGCCGAAAAATAGAAAACAAATAAAGCTGACGACATTATTCAATAAAAATTAATTAATTACGTAGTAAAGTCTGTTAAGTCATTTGTCATAGGTGAACATATAAATTATATTAACACAGACAATCTTTCTCATATATCTTATCAATACATAAAAGTTTAAAAAAATACCTACAAAATAATATGCATCTTTGATTTTGCATTTATGGCCAATATTGACATGTTTATGCTAATTGGTAGGTGTGTGGTCATAGGCCGGCGATTGGCCGTAACAACCAATCAGGAGGAATTGCAAAATCTGAGTACCGGCGCCAATGTATTAGTATTAGTTATATAATACTACCTATGTTTAAAAAATCGTTTTTGGATAACCGGAACCACGGTTCTTCACCAATATTGTATTCGAGAATCTAAGTTAGTTTCACGTCTTAAATGCTCAACCGATCGTGAAGAAATATTGCGTGGACGTGGTTAAGGTACGGAGAGGGACACAGGGTATCTTCAATTCCGAAGATTTACTGTTCATAAAAGTTGATATACACAGATAAACAAAGTAAATATACTTTCAGAAAATTTAGACGTGTGGACGGTTGACGTTTTGGACTAATTGCTTAGATGGCAATCCATCTTGTCTTGGACTTAAGCATACAGTCATAATACTCATATTACATGCATGCGTGTATTGTAATTACATGCAATAATAATGTATTCTAGCTTTTACGATTAGAGAAGAACATTTATTTGTAACTTGTAGAAAAACAGTATTCGATTAAATAAATATGCTTTGTGATTAAGAAGAAGAAAGTTACTTCAAAATATGTGGATTATCAAGTAAAACGCGGGTTGCACGCCCTACTTGTGACATCCGTTTTTAAACCGTAAAACTATGTTATTGAAATATTGAGGATCAACCGAATAAATACTTGCCTGGCATGTTGTCGCCATATAAACGCTATGTCTTTTTCGGTATAATATTAATACTTGATGTCTTCGCCTTGTTGTAACTAGACCCCATCAAAGGGGCATCAGTATAATAAAAAAACTAAGCTTAACAAAATGTCGCTTTTTTGAGAATACCTTAATGAATACATGTAGCGAACTTGAATATTTATTGACATTACTGCCTATGTGATTTTATATAATTGTATCATCAATCTTTTTTTTTATTGTAACTACTGTGTCTTGAAGTTGACTATTGTAAATGTGTTAGGTGCTTTTTAAAGTGACCTCTCGATATATCCCAAGAATTGAGGCGTTTTGTAGTATGCTAGTTGAATGCTTGCACAATTAGTCACACCTATCTAGGTTGACTTAGACATGGAACAGAGTTTCGTCTTACGGCATGACTCGTTAAGTCGTCGTTTCCGGGGCACAATGAGAGGCAGGGTGTTATTGACGGGGCGGTGGGTAATGCGCATGTGCACCTCCGGCGCCCCGGCGTCTCGGGGGTACTTTACAAACGCCCGACCCGATCACATACGATGTCAGTCTACTCGCGAGCTTCTTCGCCACTAGACGTGGATCGAATTAAGCTAATATGAGGCGGCACGCGCTCTTTATTGTACTACCAGTTATGATGTAGGTTTCAAAAATAATTTATGACAATCTTTATTTAATAAAAATATCACAATAACTAGAATCTAATTCGAGTTTTTTTTTGTTCCAGGTGCGAATCGCTAACCTAAACGATCCTGATAAATAATTCTGTAAGTATTTTTTCCTCGCGTTTTGTAATATTCTTGTAATATTCTAGTTGCCACTTTATTATGAAGTAAGTGGGCACTCTCACATCTCGCACTGTTTTATTAATACTTCTACTTTCTAGTATTTAGTACTATTTCAGACTATCCTGTTTCTCTGAATTTTAGAGGTTCTTCTTCTTGGTTTTATATAGAATAGTTAGAACATGTTCTTTTCTATGGTAGAAATAAATATTAAAATTAACAGAGTAAAGGTGTTCCACCTAATTACAAAATCAATGAAATTCAAGGTTTTGACCCATACAAAACCTACCGAATTCTTTTTTAGACCCATAGTATGTTATGACGATCACATACGTATATTGAATAGGGGTAGAAAGTTTATTTAGTAATGGTTTAAAGTTAAATAAGGCAAGGCAAAGCAGAGCTAGGTAAAGAAGTGGCGTACAACAGACGCGGGACAGCTGGCAGTGACATTTTGAACGGCGGTTACCTCACTTTTTATAATATCTTTTTGTGCGGTTGGTTTTACCTATGTTGGTCGGTCTTTGTGTGTCGAACACCTGCCGCTGCGGCTCCGGGCTTCGTTTCCAGTCTTGCCAGTTCTATTCACATATTTGTAAATGCCCGTAAAAATTCCTTTGTCCTAAATTCTTAAAAAAATACCGTTTCTATTTATTAAAAATCGACAACAAATCCTTTCAGTTCTTAAAAACTTACTCTTTTTAAAAACGTGAAACGACATCATAGAAGTACAATTTTAAATAAAAGAGAAGTCAAGTCGTCTGTGTCCTACTTTAAAAGTAGTCTAATAAACAAAATGACCAATAAATTGAGGTTGGAAATAAAAGGGAGTTATGGTAAAGGGGACTTATATAACCATGCCATTGTGACAATATTATCAAAGAATCCTTTTTTTAAAGCAAAGGTACCTATTCTTTATGGCGCGAATAAAGCCGCAACCAACTGAAACTTGCACCTGTGGGAGTGTCAGTGACCGCGTTCACCTGCCCCGCGGCAATCATTTATATTAGCATACTCTGACCCAACATATGCCATGTGGACTAATTTTTATGATACAGACCTGACTTGCTACATTATAGAGAGAGTCGCTTTAGATAGTCTTGCGCTGACACCAAGTGTTTTTGATAGTCTATGTGATTCGTTACAAATAAAGTAAGGAACAAGATAATAGATTTCACACGAGTGTTAAAATCGAGTAGATCATGCCAGTTTAACTCGTTTCCAGTATCTGACATAAATTGGAAGTCTACATGTACATAGAACCAATAATAATAATTTAACATAGTATTTTAAACACAAAAATGCTTTAATTACATGCAAACTGAAGAATTAAACACATATCCGATACCCGTTGTTTATTCATTTTGTAACCATTATTTCGCTTAGGACTATCCTCAAGACTCGATCTATTTAGCAATCGATTTAAAGTGAGCCGAGGTAAAGCTACAAAAAGTGTTAATGATTTTTATATAATTATTTAATATCAGTATCACTGCGAAAGGAAATTGCCTCATCAAATTAATTGACCGTTCTTCCTTTGGACTAATCGAAGCTGACAGAAGTTCCATCTTGTCATTGTCGAAACACCAATAAGAGGAACTAAAAGCTTTTCCAGCTCTTTCTCTGTCTGGAATCGATTACGTGCATCTGTTTTTCCGGACAATTATAATAATCTGAGCGTAGAGGGATTAAGTTTCTTTTAGACAGGCGTGTACCGTACCACCTTGGTCTTCATCGCCACATTACAACGGGTTCAAAGACAAACGCCTGTTTCATATACACAAGGTGTGGTCAAATTATTACGTCGTACCTACATGATGATGATGTTGTATACCACATCATCATCAGCATCATATCAGTAGTCCACTCCTAGACACAGGCCTCTCCTTAGAAAGGAGGTGTTGGCCTACTATACCACGCTGGCCAGACAGGTTGGTATAGGGTTTGTTTCAAGTTTTCCTTCTCTTTGCAGTGCTGTTGTCTTACGTAGTTGGCTCCCTTAGGCGGCGGGGTGGTGACGCTCCGTATTCATAATCCGTCACCATATGGACATTCTTAAAAAATCAAGAATATACATACCTATATATATATATACCTATTTTTTTTTTTTTTTTTTTTTACCTATGTATATAATATTAAGAATATTATTTAAAATATGCCGGATAAAGTCAACCTACTTCTCTACTTGGCTTTAGATGTTAAAGTATAATATTTAGTAATATATATTATTATAAGTGAGTTTTATTTATTACTAGCTTTTGCCTTCTGCTCCACCCGAGTGTATGTCGGCTACCGCGGTACAAAGTAGCCTATCTTACTCTCTGAAAATTTAGTTTTCCAATCGTCATGATTTCAACCGAAAGGCGTCCACTGCTGGACATGGCCTCCTCCTAGGCTCTCAACAACAACCGGTCCTGTGCTCTCCGTATCCAAAAAGCCATTGGTGAAAGCCAAAGGATTTTAAAATCGGTTTTGTGGTTTAGACTTAAAGCGTAACCAACAAACTCACTTTTACATTTAAAATGGAAGTATGGATTATTAGCTCCGCCTTGGGCGACACATCAAGTTTCTTTTTGAGTAACAACTTTACACTAACTGTAAGGAGAGCTAGAAAATAATCAAGCACTCACGAAATGTAACCAAGCTATGAAAGTAAATTTATAATCCAAATATACATCAAATATCAAAGTAAAATATAAATACACTTAATATTCCCTGTATCTTGAACTTGAAGCTGTTCGATTTAATTTAAATGAAGTTATTTCAGTATTAGAAAAAAATCCTCAATGAGTAGTATTCATATTTATTGAAGAATAGCTGAATTGCCCTCGGCTCCGTGCCCATTGAAATCGATTTTCTCTATTTAGTCAGGTACTTCTCGGCAATTAATTAGGTTATCAATTATATGTTCAAGATCAGTTTTGCAAGAAGCCAAAGCCTTGACTTATTTATTTAAAGCTATGAACAAGAATCTATATTCATAATATTTCTACCGAAACATCGTTTTATTAGGATTACAAATAAGGATCCGTTACTGAATTATTTTTTTCATTTTTCTAGACGAATATAGATAGTTATAGACGGTAAAATTATCTTATTATATTATTTCAGAACATTTCATGAACGTGCTTATTTTAATGCAGGAACCATGAAGCGCGACGCATACGGTGATGATGGACCAGCGCAGAAGCGCCAGCGTCAGACTGATGACGAAATCACCTTCCTCATACCGAGCAAAGTAAGTATTTAACATTGCTTACTTTTAAAGGATTTACCTAATAAATTATGATGAAAATAACACGTCGTATCGTTTTCTTATGAAGGACAATCTCAAATGAAAACTCGCCGAGAACATGATAATATAAATATGTTGTTTCATGACCGATGTGTATTTTTCTTGTTTAAATGGTTTCCTTCCGCTGCTGAGTCACTTAAACTTTCTTCACATCATATCTTTAATAGATTAGCCTTTAATAGTCCACTGCCAGATATGGGCCTTTCCTTAGAAAAGTGGTTTTGACCTGCTGTACCACGCGTGCCAGACGACTTGGAATAGGGTTTGTGTCAAGTTTTCCTTCTCAGTGCTGCTGTTTTTTTTTTTCAAATATTGTTGGTATATCCTGTGTCGCCTGGACTTTACAAACATACATTAAACGTCACAAAGAACACCCAGACTCAGGACAACAATTTGTGAATCACACAAAGTTTTGTCCCATGTGGGTATCGGACCCACAACACTCAGTGCAGAAGGAAGAGGTGAGGTGACCGCTTAAACCACTACGCCATCCGTGCAGTCGTTTTCGTTTGTCGATTATTCAAAACACAAATAGCAGTGTAAATAGTAGTCTAAAAAGTTTAGTAGTCAAGGGAATTTGACCTCTGAAGCAGATCACTTTGAATGTAGAGTAAACTTTTAGGGTTTCCTAGTTAATGGAGACAAGTTGAAATTACACATACCGGTCACTGCTAGACTGGCTCAGTCCCTTGTTCTGATTTAGTTTATCTTCTGAATGAATTACTCTTGTGATTATTGCCACGATTTCCAAAGTAACTGTCGTTATGGATTGCCTTATTTTTGACAAAATCTAATTTTTCATAATATATTAAACATAATTTTTAAACGTTAAGAGTTGTAATTCAGCTATCACTGTCTAAAAGACTGTAGTTGAATCCATTCCAACTCAACTAAAGTTAGTTATGGCATGAGAAAAACGGCGAAAAAGCATTTACCGTGCATTTGTAAGTGGACGCGTTGGGGTTGACTGACCTCAATATCTAAGCCTCGTACTATGATTGTTACTATATAAGGTTTACGTCTTTACCAGGTGGCAGGCTCGATTATTGGCAAAGGTGGTGCCAATATATCCAAGTTAAGAAATCAGGTCAGTATTCAGTCTAACGTTTCGCTAGACTGAAGTAAGTAAAGTATTGCGAGTAGACTCGTTCAATAAATTCAGCTTTAAATAATATAAATTTGCATTTGTAAGTATCTTCATCAACCTCTAGTCGATTGAATTCTTAATTGTGTATTTTTATAAGCATTTCAAGCAACAACAGGTATTTTCAATTAAACATTAATGATTAGTCCAATTCAAAATCCATAATCTTGATTTCATGTTATCAGTAAGTTATTTAGAATTATTTTACTTGTACTTATGCCTTTTAACAATGTTTCTAATTAGTAATACATAATAAATGTTTATCTATTTTTTCGCTACAGGTACGTCTACCACTCTTATAAATATTAAACTGTACTGCTCTGTGCCTTTTGGGTAAAAGAAAACTTGCCAGATCCGCTTCTTCTATGCTTTAAGATGATATATTTTTAGTATGCCTTATAGAAAGCAAAGAACAATTAAAGAAGACAAGGGTAGGATTCGATGATTGCATTTGGCATCGAGTCTTACGACAGCGGCCAGTCCGTAGGCTCATAGACAGAATAACCCCCCGGCAGCCAGTTACAGGTCATTAGCGCCCCCGAGACGCCCCTGTGGCTAACGCGACGCGCCGCGCGACTTCATCCGCTACTAGCCTAGCTGACCATTCTCAACTCTTTTTATAGCTACGTCATAGGGTGCTTGACGAATTAATTGATATTCAATTAACATAACTTCAATCTTCCAAATCCGACCAGGTAAAAGTAAATATGGATAAAATGGGAATTTATTAACCAATATATCTTTTTTTTTAAATGATTATTATCTATCTTACACTAGAACATTGTATCCATATTCATGCTCATATTCATATTCATCATTGTATCATATGCAGATTCATAAACAAAAAATTGATCATTTGTTAAAAAAAGTTTTATGCATTTAAGAAAGTTTGAACGTGTAGAAATTCTGTTAGCTGGAACAATTCGGTATTCGTGAGCAACTATTATTAAATTAGGACAAAACGTCCATCACCCTATTGCCAAAAATTTGTGCGTGGAGTTGAGGCTGGTCGAGGGTTAGTGTGATGTAGTCGCGTGGTGCGCCGCTACAGCGTGTCTTGGTTGCCGGTCCCGCCCCGCTGGACGCCGCTGCCCCGCACCCGCCGCCCCGCCACGCAGTACAAAGCCTCTATAACAGTCCCAGATTGCCCTGGCCCCGAACGGTAAACTATATCGCCAACATCTACTCTCAAAAATTTATACAGTCCGAATCGAGTATGCGCTCTACTGGTCAACAGTCAGGAGTCGGAATCTCTTTAAATAAATCATTAGCTCCCAGCGTTAGGCGCTTTACTCCGTATCTCGACTTCCCGTCTTCATCACATTCCGCAGGATATTTGCACTTTGTCACACTGGACGCCTTCTGATCTTATTTTCACGACCTCGGTGTCCTAAACATCTCGTTCATTAGCCGCTATATGTCTGTTCCCTTAGGACTATATCCTTTCACACGTTTACTTTTTTCTCCACGCTGGACGACATCTCTGTTTTAGTACTACAGGTACGGACATCAAGTTTCATCGCCATCATGCTTCAGTTTACTAAATTGAGTCCAGACCTCCCTGACCGTTGATGTATTTGTACCGTTGTTTTATATTGTGCTGTGATTTTATATTGTCATTTATATACGTATTTCATGTATTAATAAAAAAAAATCTGCAGGGTACTTTCAATAACGGCGCCGGACGTCGACACGATTCTCGAAATCGTTAAAGAAATATTGCCGTGTTTGGCTGATGTAAGTACACGCTTTATTTTAATGGTGTTTCTTTGTTATTCAAAATTATCAAGTTTTATGCCTGTCATTCATTCAATGCACTGACTGAATTCAAAATTGGACTAACTAATTTCATAGACAATACTCATTCCTAGGCTGGCCCTTAAAATAACGATAATGTTAGTTATTCACCCTGGGAGATCGAATGTAATTTTCCTTTATTTAATAGTACTGTGTTACTGGATATTTGTCTTATAATATATTTCTTGAATTTTCTAAGTTTACAGCTGCAAAACACAATAGCAAACATTATTGCCAGTATTGTATCTTTAGGAAAGTATTAAAGAGTTTTAAAGTTCACATTAATTAACCAAAAAAGTAAATTTTCATGATTCTACTATCAAAAAGAAACTTATCAATTATGAACATCATTATGATCAATGAACGACTTTTCAAACCCGTATATTTTATCAGGGAGGACCCAAGAGCAATAACGAAGATCTCGACGTACGTCTACTCATTCACCAGAGCCGCGCTGGATGCGTCATCGGTAAAGCCGGAGCCAAAATTAAAGAATTACGAGAGGTAAGTTTTAACGTATAGATGTTTCTTTATTACATTTCATCGATTCATTTACTATGCATGCACATATCGATATCTTCTCTACCGGAACACATTAGTACATTATGTTTCGCAGAAAATAAAAGAATGAATTAAAAAATTATAACTCGATAAGGTTGGGACTTAATCTTGGTATTATTTATAAGGCAAGATAGCTTTTTTATAAGTGGCATTTTGACCTAATTGTGGTTACGGGTAAACTATTAAATGACATCCACGGTGTATTCCACATCTAATATATTGCATAGAAGTCGGGAAAAGTTTAAAACAGTTTATAGTTATTGTTAAAGAGCCTTATAGAAGAATGGTCCTTTAAATAATGTTATGTTCTATTCCATTTTGACTTGTAGACTCTTAGAAGAGGTAACAAGTTGGCCAGACACACCAAGCCACTAACACCACCACCCTTATACTATACTACTGTACAGCACTTCCATGAGCTTGGTGATTCAAAGAGAACGTTAATAATATTAAATCTTTATTGGGAACTAAAACAGTAAAAACAGTAACATATGCGAGAATGGCTGCATAGATTAAAAAGAACTGTGGCAGCCATAAACGCCACCTCCAGCCTGGGGCCGCCAGAGTACCATCAACAAAAATATAAGATAGTAAAAGACGTATATGGAACTTAAAATATTGGGTGAAGGAATGCCAGTCAAGATGCCAAATCATATGTTTGTCAACTATTTTTCAGTTGAAATACTTTTATTTCGAATTAATCGATAGGTCAAAAAATCACAATCTTTAAATTTAATAAGATGTTTTGTCTTGTATTATTAACATATTCTATAGATATCGAAAATGTTTGCTATCGACACACTCAAGTTGGATTTTCCATTCTGCTGACCTAGCTCAATAATTACATGAAGCAGATGGTAAGATCATTTTGATGACGTAGTCATCTGTCGAACGAAGGTGCATTTCTGTAAAGGATTTTTTTATTACATACCCTTGGTATTTAGGCACACGGTGCAGATATAAAGAGCAGATGTGAAAGCAGCTGCCGATGGATATTGCGCTTTATCTCTACCGCTCTACCATATATTCATTCTGACTATGACAAATACCTTCTTTTTTGAGTTTTATATTGCTTTTGTAGTAAAGACGCGGACGGTATGTTCAAAAGAACAACAACAACACTATTAAAATAAATTCAATGAAGTCTAATTTGCGGTATGGTATTATTAAACTTCAGAAACTTGCCGTGCTAACTTACACTTAACACTTAACTAGCTACAGATGCAGGCTTTAATAATTTGTCAACGAACAATATAAAGTGTCGTCAGAACTGCAAAGTGAATCCAGCGGTGGGTCTATTACCACTCGTCCTACATTGCTGACAAAGTTTTAAATTTGTTCGGGACTTCGTCTGCCGGGCAAAGGAACTTGACAATCTCGCTTTTAACAGTTTTGCATTACATAACTCGGTAGCCCCTCCTCCATGTTTGTTGAGACATTTGACTAACGACTTCTGATGCCGGGAACATGCCCAGTCGTTTTACTTCGCCGTCCCTATAACGAGTTTGTTTGGGCCAACTGAACAATGGATCGACACACAACTGATGTTGTTCTCCGGAAATAATTCCACAACGCGATCGCTATCTACCTGAGTCCACTTTTATAGCTTTTTTGCCATCTATCAGCTGTTTCGAAAATTCTTTGTTCGACACGAATACCGCTTCGATTTAACAAGACATAGAATCTTTACGAAATGCTAAATTAACAATAACCGTATTTTTTTTTTCTAAATAAAATGCGCACAACAGAATTTGAATGTGATAAAAGTTTCATTGTGCCATTGTTATTAACGCTATTCAGGACAAGAGAAAAGATATGTTCCTGGGGTAGTATTATTAAGAGGTTAGCGACCTCTTATGTGACGCAGTACATAAGCAAGGCCAAGAAGTCTTCTTAAACCTTTTTATCGGATCGTCCGATCATGGCCTATCGCTGGTGTATGTGTAGAGGGCGCGGGTGGCGCGTGCTGCGCGACAGCTGTCGGGCGGCAGGTGCGCGCGCAGCCGCCGGAAGGCCTCACAAAAAGCGCACGCGCACCTGGGCTTCACCAGTCTACATACTTGCACAATACGAAGTCTCGTATATAAATAGAAATTTCGAACACATGGTCCTGGCGCATCCGCCCTCGTTTCTTAACTTCTTTTGAATCTCCAGGTAAATTTACGATGCATAATGCTATTTATGGCCGCCGTCGACAGATTTATTTAGAAAATCGAGCTCTTGCGTCTCTTGCACTGTACGTATTAAGGCTAAGTGCCGATCTCATAGGTAATATCCTTCCTTCGCCCCTTTTTACTGATTTTAGACCACCGTTACCATTTTTTTTAAAGACTCCTTCCTCATTAACAAACATATATGAAACGAACTTAACGAACATACATGAAACGGACACAAGAACACCCAGACTCAGAACAACAATTTGTGGATCACACAAAGTGGTAGGAAGCGGCGTGGCCACCGCTTAAACCACTACGCCATCCGTGCAAGCAAATATATACCTACATGAAAGATGTTTTTGTGTGTAAGTTATTAATGTCTAAAAAGCTATTTTGAGAAATTCGATGAAACTAGATTGGTGATAATTAGTTATAACTAATTATCACCAATCTAGTTTCATTGAATTGAAGTGATATCACGTGTTGGTAGGGTTTCATCCGTCGGAAATGTGTGGCGTGCAGCTCAAGTTACAGGAGCTACGCACACGTGACGGAGGAACATTTTTTAAACCTTACTTCCTTGATAGGTAAATGGATAGGGCAAAAAATAGAACGGATACACAATACAAAGTTCCCATGGATAATTACGCGGTACAAAGGATACAGCTGATTACTAATGTAGGAGGCGATTCAAACGTTATTTGTATAAAAACAGTACACAGTCTAGCATATGTCGGTGGTGTAATTAGACACAGGCGACACCGGTCTGTCGTGGTGACACCGACAATTACGGTGGCGGCGGCACGCGAGCTCGCCGCTTCCGTTTCCGATCGAACCACATCGCTCTACGGCTTCAGCTTGGACAAATGTACAGAACCACGACCACTAGAGTGTTTATTGGTCGTGGTCTATACCTTTTTTTTAAATCTAAATTGATACAATGCCTTAATACAGAGACTTAATTCTTCGCGTAAATGTAAATTATCTTGACTATACTGTTATTGTATTCAGCCAACTCTGCTTAAAATTACAGAAACGAAACTTAATTTACCCAACTTTGTCATTATTAGCAGGTGCGTTGAAGATGATAGCCGGCAGTACAGCCTCGAAATACTTGTGCACTATTTTATAAGGTTGAGAACACTAACTCAGTTTTATACAACAAGTATGAATTAGTGGGAGTATATTAGGTAGTTCCACGGCAGAAATTAGAATAGGTGACGAAGCAACTATAATGTTCAACTGGTTAAAATAATGATGAACAACAAAGGTTTTTAACAGTTATAGTTAGTATCGACATTATTCATTTAGAGGTACAGGTAAGCAAATTAGATCTGCTCCAGCCATATTAAAATTGCTTTCAGATCCCAAAACCATCCGCCGTTTTTTCCATTGGCTTCCTGTTAATATATTGTCAATTTTCCATTATAATTCTTAAAGTGCTCGGTTGGCAGCAATAGGCTATTACGTAAATGGGACTAAAATTATAATAGGCAAAATGTGGGCGTTCAATACGCAGCTGCCTACCCCATCGGTGATATAACTGTGAGTAAGTGTCGAATATCCAAAACGTAGCATTCTACGCGATATTGATGAATCCATTTTGTTTTTGTGATCAAGATTAATTGTCTTCAAAACAAACCCCGGTGGCTTCTTTGCGAGCGAACAAATTTTATGATTGATTGGCGGTATAAAAATTCTAATAAATCATAAACGTCTGTGGTGTTTCAATTTTATTCTTTTAGTAAATGCTCTATCTTAGTAATCCCTTCGCCACTGACACTTAATTTCCCCATTTCGTATCGCGAAAATAGTGTTAAAGATCAATTTCACAGTATAGAACGTCCGCCAGGTTTGCGTCCGTGACAAGGATCAGGAGTGGATAAAGTCCATGATATACGTCCACCGAAGGTGTTATCATGGATGATGTGTGGCGTAGGCGTGGCGCGTGCCGAGACCTTTTCTTGGATCCCCACAAGTGCACAGAAGCGTCGGGAAAGGGGCTGGCGGGGGGTGGCAGGTGTTGCACGCCAGTCGACGCTCAAACGCTCATTTCGTAATCGACCTCGTTCTAGGGATGGTCACATCTCGCGCTCCTCTCGTAAATTTTATAATCCGTGTGAATTAATAACAATTTAATATTCGTTGCCCTTAACAATATTTTAAAATAAAATAGTGTAATTGAAATACCTTAGTAAGAGTGATATTAATTACAGCGACCTTTTACAATAGGTTTTGAGTGTTTTGTTCGCGACTGTAGGTCCGAATCGTGAAGTGGGTTAAAAATGTCAGTCAGTCGCATGACATCTGTGGTATCGAGTAGTTGTGTAGTGTGGTGTGGGCCTGTGGCTAGTACGTTCCGTGCACTGAGGTGTTTAGTTGTTGTGTTATGGGCGGGTTGTTTGTGCGTGTGGATAGCGGGCGGCGACAGTAGCCACGTGCGCGGGTCGATGTCGTCGCGCATGCGCCCCTCGCCGCTGTCAAACGTCACTGCAAACTCGCACCTACCACAGACCGCACGTTAAGCTTGTCTTCAATCATGTTTTTTAATATCGGTAATTAATCACATATCGAATAATCAACTTTAAACCAATTTACGGTATCGCAACCGACTTCTTATTCGTAAAATGTTCTCTTCTAAGAAGTGCATTAGACAAATGTACCTTGTTGTTATGTAATTTGTTTGGGATTTAGGGCGTTGGAGTTAATGCTTATCTGATTCAATAGTATATTCTTATTTAAAGAAATGTCATATAACATTTATTTGAATTTTATACAAACTAATACTTAAAGAGGCTCCATGTTTGCCTTTTTTGCTTCAAAGTATATTATATAATGTTAAAATTATATTTACTTAAAGAAAACGCATAGATTCTATTTTTCTAAAGATTTTCTAAGCCATTTGTAATTTTCAGAAAACAGGTGCTCGCTTGAAAATATTTTCAAATCCAGCTCCCCAGAGCACAGAGCGTGTGGTGCAGCTCGTGGGCAAAGCCGAGGCTGTGGCAGCCGGCATCAAAGAAGTCCTGGACCTCATCAGACCGGTATTAATGATCTTTTATTTTAAATAACTCAGTTTAATAGAATACTAGAGCTTCTTAATACTCATTCTATTGCGTTTTTATTAAAACGTGATCGCGATTTGTTCAACTTATTAAAAAAATATTTTTTAATGTACTATTTCAGGTGCCTATAAAAGGTGGAATACAAAACTACGATCCGCACAATTACGATGACTTCTATGCGGATGAGTATGGTGGTTTCGGTAGTGGACAAGGAAGTGGAGGCCCGCGAGGATCCGGACCCCGAGGCCCCCCCCGCGGACCCCCTCGCGGTATGCCCGCCATGGGCGGTGGCCCCTCCGGGCGCGGCCCTGGACCTCGTGGCCCTGGCGGAATGGGTGGCCGCAGTGGATTAGGACCACGTAACGCTTTCAATGACTTCGGTGGCCCCGGGCCTAGAGCTAACTTCTCAGGCCCGCCCCGAGCCAACTTCGGTGGGGGCGGTGGCAACTTTGGTGGCGGCAACTTCGGGGGCAACCGTGGGGGCAGTGGCGGTAGCGGCGGCGGTGGCAACTTCGGTAACAATGGCGGTGGCGGAAACCAGTCAGAAACCACTACACAGGTCACCATACCCAAAGACGTGAGTCTCTTAATTATTTATGTATAAGAAATATATACATCTCATATGTGTACATGAACCGATCAAACTTAGTGAATGTCAGTAAAACTACGGTAACAATAAGCCGTAAAGAGCAGTATTAACTCGAATTATTTTCAAGTGTTTCAAAACTCGAACTCTGGGTTTCGTTCCAGTTGGCTGGTGCGATAATTGGCAAGGCGGGTTCGCGCATACGCAAGATCCGCGCAGAGAGCGGAGCAGGCATAGAGATCGCGGAGCCCCTGCCCGGCTCCACGGACCGCATCATCACCATCACGGGAACTCCACAGCGCATACAAATGGCTCAGTACTTACTGCAACAGAGGTAGTCCCCCAACTAATACGATATATCATGTCAATGTTCGTAATCACTGTTAATTACATAAACACCGTATAGTTGCCGATATATTTCAAATATTGTAATCAACTGTATTCGACATCTAAACCTCTGCTACAGTTTCACAATGTTTTTTAATTATCTGTGTCATATCACATAATTGAAAAGCATGCCAACATTATCGCCAATAACTATCGTATCATTGCTAAATTTTGCGTCAACCTGCTATTTTAACTTAACGTACCTGGTTAAGGCTTTTCTCAAACATGCTATTAACTGTATATAATTCAATATATTTACTAACACAATATTATTTTGACAATAGAATGTTTGAAGAGTTCCCTGAGTTGGCACCAAACCAAACTAAGATTAAGTAGAGATTATTGAACGGATTTGACTGTATTATGACGTCGATGTTGAAATGCGCAGGTAAACATGCACACAGTTGTTTTGTAGCGGGAGCGTAGAACTTTCAAACGAGATGTTCACCTGTGTATCTGCATACTTAAAACTGTTGTACAAAGCTGTCGCATCTCTGTAGTTACCAAGTAATTAGCAATGATCATACACCACCTCTAACTCATTGTAATGTTTATTTGTGACTAACATTCTGGTGATTAACATTTCTAGGTGACATCAACTAACGGGCATCGACAGAGCCGCGCGTTGTATGGAAGACTAGTGATTTTGTTGTTTTGATTGACATTAACAAAGAATCACTAATCTACCTACAAAGCGACGGCGCTCTCTTCAGATGAAGATAATCTTTTGTATATATTGTTCCTTTTGTGCTACTAACATTATATTATTATATCTTTTGTGGTGATATTTTTCGATACTAGGATAGTTTCCTTATTTTTTTTTAACTTTTTACAGTGTGCACGAGAGCAACCCGAATCTCGGTCGTGGAAACTTTTGATTCCGGTGGCGACTTCAAAGGGTGTTAAAATTATTTAAAAATTTACATTAGTCGTCACCTCAAACCAGATCACAATTTTTTTACAAAATGAAATCCGCGAGGCTCACCTTATGATTATATGTACATAGTGTCTAAACCTCACCAGGGAAATAAGAATTACAGATCCAAATATTGTTTTCACTGCATTATTTTTTTATGACGTATTGGAATGCCTGGTTTGTAAAAAAAAGACTAATAGTTTAATATATTAGCATTTTTATTGCTGTATGACAAATAGTTCATTTCTCTGGTCGGGTTTTAGGTATTTAAGATTGCATTTATCATTATTAATATGTGAAGAGTTTAACTTAGATTGTGTCAATGATTTACCAATTTATTTGTTACATCGATGTATTTTTAAGTAATAGCAAATAGAAATGGAAAATAAATAGTTTATTTTGTGGACCTTTTTTTTTTTATTTTCTTACTAAAATATAACTAACGATAAAGCTTACAATTCTTGAGCCCTAAAAAAGCAATCTCTATTTTCAGTATACAGCTACACACTTTCCAACCATATGAGATGGTTCTCCTTGCCTCTACCCTCCGTAATTTTATACGATAGCATCTATCAACAGATACTATTAACCGATTACTTAATTCAAAATATAAATACCTTCTAAAGTATAATTAAACTGATTCTTGACATGATAAATTCGTCAAAACATTGGTCCTATGAATAGGTCATAATAGTTAAACTTTGGGGCAAAAACCTCTGCTACAGAATCCATTATTTTAAATGTGACTGCTGCACGAATACTTCCGCTGAACAAATCCTACGTGCTGTGCCCTTTTTCTTTCCGTTTGGAAGTTCCCCCGGATACCCGAGTCGTCTGCGGTACCTGCCCCGTACCCGGGCCTGGTGGACCGGGAGAGTTCTAAATCTCTCCCATAACTTGCTCGCAGAAGGAGACAGCGGACTTCCACGCCCTCTCGCTCCGCACCATGGCCGCAATCATGTCACCGAGCGAGAGAATTTTCAGTATATTACAATGTACTCTGTGGCGAGAGAATTTTCAGTATATTACAATGTACTCTGTGGCGAGAGAATTCCTACCGCCGCTACGAGGTCACGCCTTTGCTTCACCCACGCCGGGCATTCTGCCAGTGTGTGGAACGCCGTGTCCACAGTTCGGCCTTCGCAGTGGTGGCACTCAGGCGTTTGCTCCTTGCGGATCAAACAAGTGATCTCGCGGTATACTATGGGGATCTTGTGTCAACTAGGGTGAATTTCCGTGCGTTTAGGCGATTCTGCCATACATATTATAGAAATCAAATATAAGTCACGTAGGACCCGTAATATTTTGTGGCCGTGGTGCTTCCCTGTTTAAACGGGTGTATGCCTATTTTACTTCATTTTGTCTCCCGCTTTGCTAAGTAGGGAAGTGGATTTACTGTATTTCCAACCCCTCCAATTTTCTTCTGATTAATTTCGTTGCGGGTTCCAAGACAGTTTAATTTCTTCCTGGGACTTCCCGAGTGTCATAACTCGGTGTGTTCGTAGGTCACTGCTGTGAATCCTGGTGTACAGGAGTTACAGTGGTGGGCGTGTGGGTGGGATTAGTCCCAATAAAAAAAAAGTGATCTCTGAAGTATCCTTTCCCGGTGATCACCTGCGTCAGCCGGTATGAGAGGGTTCTGTGTTGCCTCTCGAGCCAATTCTCAATAACAGGTCTTACCGCCGCAATACGGGGTGACCGACCCTATCATTTCCTTGTTTTGTAAACCAAACTATAAAAAAATGCAAAACAACAATTTTCAATCTTCGCAAGTATGACCATGTGTCTGCTTTTCGCTCCCAATTAAAATGGTTACCTATTCGCTTGCGTCGCAATCAGCGAGCGCTGACCTCTCTCTTTTCATTCCTCAACTGCCCATTTTCACCCACCTACCTCGATCCTTATATCCGTTTCTTGTCCTCTAATCACGACAGAAATCTTAGATCAACGAACAATTTGCTTCTCTTGTGCCCCCCCCACAACTCAGACTATGTGAACTCCTCGTTCTTTGTACAAATAGTTCTGCTCTGGAATGCGCTCCCACTCGAAATCAGGATGTCCACAAACCTTTTCGCATTTAAAAGGAATGTACATAATTACCTTCTCAATGAAAAAATGACTTAACAAATGGTACACCTCCTAAATTCAAGCATTAACAGTGTACAAACATAAAGAATATTATGTATTTATTTCTATATATATGTGTAATTATATTTGTATTACATTATAACTATAATATACTTGTAATATATGTATAATGTTTGTAGATTTTGCTTAGTTTTAGATAAAAAAAAATATTTAAAATCATTGATTACAATCGTAACCTCGGTGCCCCTACCCTACAAGATTTCTACACCAACTAAAGGTTGGCTGGTAGAGAATGCCCAGGGCATTAAGTCCGCAGATGTAGAAAAGTGCATGAAGATGTAAAATAAAATAAACACACTACTGACAACTAAATAAAGTTGAGGATTCAAAATTTTGCGATATTTAATATTTAGGAAATTCAACATCGTGGGTCCAGTAAATTCAAGTTTTTTTTAATTCAATATTTTGATAATTCAACATTGTAGTCCAAAATGCTCAAAACACCTAACAGCGTGATCACGAGCGACACTAGGTGATTGCCAGTAATTTCCACAAATAAATTATAAAGATACTTCACCCATAAATATCAACAAAATAATAAGTCATCATTATTAACATTTTCCTGCCTCCTCTATTTTCTTTTGAGTCTGAGGAATGCAAAAGGGTTTCAGCTAGTTTCTTTATTGATAGTCGCTTACCTGACGCCACTAGGAAGGAAACATTAAATAAAGCGAAAACATAAAGAAAGCGTTATACTCCTTATGCAGGGCCGCTGGATACGGGTGTGCTGAGCGTGTTTTATAAATATATATATAATATGCATGCATTTTCAGGGGAGCGGCAAAAACAGAAGTCGAAACGAAAACGAAACATTCTTATAATTTTCATGTCTTATATTCACGCTCATTTTGATAATTTTCATTGTCATAATAACATTTTTCAAATTCAACATTCATTAATATCAATCGATCGGTGTACGAAAATTAATGCAAACGTTTATAAGTTTCAAATTAATTTATTAAACGTAGGTATATATAGGGCCTAGGGTAACCTTACGGTTACCCTAGGCCCAAACACTCATATCCGTGATGCCGAGGGAGGGTCACGTGACACTACATGCTGTGGTGTACCGCGGCATACCACGACTTGCCGTGGTATAAATGTATCGAAATATGATCTAAACTAAAGTAATATGATCTAAACTCATTGAAATAAGGATAAAAAGAACTTGATCAAAAATAAAATCCAAAACTATGCCATCTGTTGTCCGGTGGGGGGTACCCTATAGCCGATTTCAGCACGAAATTTTTTTTTTGCAAATTGTATCTTTATTATGATACTGATAACAATTTACTGAAAGATAAGAGGGTATAGACTTACCTCGTTTTTCTTTCTAAAAATAGTAATATTTAGCATAGCGTGATGCCCTTAATAATATTTCACACTGTCCTGCGTGGCCAGTAGCCATGGAAATTATTGCTACTTTTAAATCATATTCATTTGGTGAAATGATTGGTTTTAGTCTTAGCGATTTACATATCATCATAGACAAAGATAAATGGAATTAAAATTAATTAACCATTCAATTCTTCAATCATTTTTTTTTAATTAGGCCTTTCGCGTGTCTTGCACTTGCGTAATAATTAAGTTCCAGTAGTTTTATAAATATTGATTTATAAAACTACTGGAACACAGGTGTGGTGATATGATTTATCACATGCGATTGTGATTTTATTCCATCCCTAGTGGCCAGCAGTCATCATCTGCCTACCCTTTTCCCAATTTTATTTGGGGTCGGCGCAGTATGTATGATTTTTCCATTCTACTCTGTCATGGGTCATCTCACTGTTTACTCCCTTCCTAGCCATATCCTCCCTCACGCAGTCCATCCACCTTTTCTTCGGTCTGCCTCTTCTCTTGTACCCTTCAACTCCCATACCTAAAACTTTCTTCGCCACATTTTCCTCATCCCTCCGCATGACATGTCCATACCAAGATAACCTATTACTTCTTAACTTTTCATCCACTAGTGGCCAGCAGTGTTAAATATAAAAAAAATGTGCAGTGTAATCAACAACCTTTTGATCACAGTCTATGATGTACTATTTACATTTTATGGCAACCTAAATTCATACGTCATAAGTAATAAGTTGTCACTCACTTGTCAAACGAAATTTTGTCTAGTCTAAGTGAATCAACAGCTGTTTTGCACTTTTTATCCTAAAATTAATAATTAAAACTGGTTATCTAACAGGTAGTTTTATACTTTATATTCAGGTCATGGTAGATATCATTAGAATTAGTGTTGTTTTTAAATATGAAACAAAGGTAAGTGTAGATATGACGGAGCGTAGTTTAATACCCGTTGTTGTTTACGTGTTACTAACTATATGTTTATTTGTGTTTAGAACTCGCTCGATGCAACCTGGAGATGACTTGGTTGGCTTTAACATGGGCAAAAAAAACGACGCTAACGAACACAGCGAGATTCAGCTACACAGAATAAAACCCCAAGAACATTTCATTGAAGCGCAAGTGCAGGAGGGTGACACTCTTCAAGCTATTGCATTAAGATTCTATTGTTCGGTGTGTAACCAACGTGTTATACATAGTTATTTAAAACATCTTTAACAGCTTACTACAGATAATAGAAAAAATGTTTTGTTTATTCTTATCATTCTTATCTATTATTAACATCGTGAATTGTATTTCAGATATCAGAGCTTAAAAGGATCAACCATATACATAAAGACAATGAAATATTTGCAAGGCGAACCATTAAAGTTCCTGTTACTCCTTATTCAGTGTTGACAGAACTTATTCCAAATCAGCCACAAGAACCAACCCCGTCTACTTCGGCTAACCAGACATCAAATGCTGTGATACAAGAACTCCTTAGCACTAATAATTTTAAAGAACTTTTAAACCCGAATAAAACAACCACTAATAATATAGAACAAAAGGATGTGCAGTGTTCTATTGACTGTAATACAGTTGTTATGAACAGTATGGTAGCTCCATCTGTTGTGCCTTACACAGACTCAGAGCAGAATGAACAAGCAACAGAGGACACTCAACTTCTGCCCAATAAGGAGAAGATATCTGTTGAAGCGGTTGTAGTGAAGGAATTAACATCACATGGAGCTGACTTTGGACTGAAATGGTTCCATCTAGTATGCTTTATGCTCATTCTTGGTGTTGTGATCCCTCTTGTGTATATTATGTTTTATTTAGACAAACATGAACACACTGTTTCTGATGTTTCACCATTACATTCTAATCAATGACTGATTATATATACTGTATCTGAGGGAAAAGCTTTAAGTTTTAATGGTATTTGTTATAAATCAATTTTTTATATATTATCATTGTAAGCAAATACAATGTAACTTCTGCAAAAAAATTATATTATTAAGGACATGTCATTGTCATTATTTTTATTTGAAAGTATTAATAATAAAAACATTAAGTGATCTGGGAAAATTCAGAACAGTAGGGTCATCAGGATATATTCCTAATGCAGTAGTTGTCATTAAAAAAAAAACTGGGAATTTCTACCATCCAACAATCACATCTTAAGATCAGAAGCCCTATTGTGAGTTTATGTCACACCTACTCAATCGGCATGGTGACCGTGTTCACCCACACTGAAATAATTACCAGTTCCAATGCCGCACACTCTCGTTGTCTAGAGTGACTTGATGTGAAATAAAATTGCACTAGCCCTCAGGGCTAAGAACAATGCTTTTCCTGCCAACACAGCCCTTCATTATAATTTATTTCATTCCATATTTAATGTTATCGTGTACTACCAATTGTTGTTTTTCTCAGACTCTAAACTTTGTATCTCAGTATTAGTCACATATTTTCATTGATGTAACTAAAACTGTCTCTCAATGGCAACTTAAATAACAATCATACAAGAAAATCGTTCTGAACTGTATTGTCGGGCCTATTCACATTTAAATTTAAAAAAACACAAATAAACCATGAAAGGAAAGTAAAATAAATTATATTTACTTATAATAGAAAAATGTTATGGATCTGTGTGATGCTGCTGTTGATTCAACTAGAGGTCCTTACTGTGCCCAGCCTTTTCTATCTGATGCTTAGATCTTGCATAGCTTTAAGGGCGAGTAAGATACAATCGGCGATATGGAAAACTTTTTAGGTAAAGGATATGGAAAGCTAGACTGGTGATCAGACGTAGAAAAATTTCATCTGACCAGAAATCGTAACCGCTTCTAATGTCGTCAAGTACCTGTACCCTAGGTACTTGACGACGTATACCTATGTGATCGCCAAACCACAAAGATTGAACTTATCAAATTAAACTACACATGCATACAATGAGCAAAATTAATATTATATCATAAACAGAGATGCAACACCGATTTCGCGCTATCGGTTGTTAATTACAGGACACGATTAATATTATTATTTATAATTTGAGTAAAAATATTTACACAAATTATTAATTTTATTATTATGCTTTAGTATCATTCTAAAATTTATTTAAAGTCATATTAATCGTTAATTAATTGAAAACAGGAAATAGCTGGTTTTAAATGCTTTATTAACCGCAAACCTATTTATAATGAGTGTTTACAAATTATTATGCTACTTCATTAATATAAACAAATGTAATAACATTTGCCTCGGAGAACACGTAAAGCCGTCGTTTTCGGTTGTCATACAAACAATTAGAGGCCTAAAAAGTCCGACAACAGTTTATCTTCAGAACTTGGACATCGCCTAGTACCTACTTGGCTTGTGGAAGTCTGATAACAGTCGCTCAACGTAAAAGCCGATGTTCAGCCGTGGCGTAATAGACTGAAAGCAGACCCCAACCTAGTTGCGGGAAATCCTCGGAGGATGACGACCTTTAATATGCTTGAAACGTATTTTGGGCTTATTTAACCAACCAGGACTGTACGCTAGGTACCAAATCTTCGAAGCAGAGTGGCTTGTTCCTTCAAACATCTAAGAATCTTGCTGAACGTTTGTCTCTTTAGACGGACAGTTAAAATAGGTAAAAATTAAATTGCAAAATCCCTTTGACAATTTATAAATATCAAAATAATAGAGGAAAGCTTTTCGCTTTCATGAACAAGAAGCTAGGTAGGTACTTCTTAATAATTAACTAAGCGACTTCCACTTTAAATGCATTTAGGTTTCATAGAAACAGTTTGAAACTTAATTGAGCCTTGTTTTTCGTTTTTTGTTCACGTTGTAGGTAATGAGTAATCAGTGTCTTCGTCTGAATCTTTTTATCGACTAGCTCACCCACTGATCTCAACTTAATGTTTAAATTTGTAAAAAGATGAATTTCCCATCTGGACCACAATGTTAAATTTGCAAGATGTTAAATCTCAAAATGTTGTATTTGTAAAAGAGAATATTCTTTTGTAGTCCGAAAGATTTTTTATCTTATTTAATTCTTATTTTTTTAAACTGACTAAATTTAAAACCTTTTAAATTATAAACTTAGCTGTGATTAATACCTAATGACAATAACTTTATAAATAAAATATAACTTTATTATAAGTGGCTAATATTACTAATACATACAGAAGTTTCACTTACTATCATCTTAAATGTGATAAATGTTTTTTTATGTAATATATGTATGTATGTAATTGAATAACTAGTATAGGTACTAAATTCAAAATTGTAGTCCAAAATGTGCAAGTCTGTATATCGGGGTACCACCACAGTGCCAAATATTTTCCTATGAAGTTGGGGTTTTTTAAAACCAGCATTTTCAGATTTAATTATCTGTGGATTGGCGCTCAATTAGAAATTCAAATAAAATTTATTCAAAAGCCATTTTATTTTATTTTAAAATTCAGTCATTTTTTTTAGATAGTGTTTTGTTTTTGTGAAATTGTGGTAGTTTTGGCAACATGGATAAATTGAAAATTCGTACAATTTTCGAATACGAGTATGAGTTACACGAAACATTAACGACGTGTACGGGCCTAACACTGCTTGCATAAACACGGTCCATTATTGGTTCAATCGTTTAAGATCTGAAAATTTTGATTTGACAATATATAATATGATAGTCGACAATGACGAATTGAGGGTAATAGTGAAAGCGGATCCAACTCAATCTACGGCTGAGCTTGCTACGGGCTTTGGAGTTAGTGTAAAAACAACATTAAAGCACTTGCGTCAAATCGGCAAATTAAAAAAACTAGGTAAATGAGTGCCACACGAACTAAGCGACCATCAGCGAAGCGAAGCATGCATTGCACTACTGAATCGGCATAGAAACAAGGAAATTCTTAATCAAATTGTAACCTGCTATGAAAAGTGGATCCTGTACGATAACCGTTCGTCTCAGTGGGTGGACCCGGGTACAGCACCTAATAAGTGCGCTAAAAAAAGATTATCCATAGGAAGATGATGGTGACTGTTTGGTTGACCAGTGCCGAATTTGTACATCACAGCTTCTTTCCTTTTCTCTAATGGCACAACAGTGACGGCAGATGTCTATTGCTAAGAATGATAGAGAAGCTCGCAATTCAATAATCACGACTGGTCAATCGCTCTTCCCCATTGCTTCTCACCCGTCACCGTCACTGGACTCTGGACACTCTTCGGTCTTTCCCAAACAGATTTCTACTTTTTTTTTAAATTTAGTCAATTTTTTTAAATGGGAAAATATAACACCAGTGCAGCAGTACAAAATGCTTTCGCTGACTTCATCCCCTCCTGTCCAGTAGACTTCTACAGTAAAGAGATAAACAAACTGCCATCAAAATGGCAAAATTGTATAGATAATTTGGGTATAAAAATACAAATCTCCAACTTCATAGGTAAAGCCCTAATATTTGCCAAAAAAACGTCCACTGCTGGGCATAGGCTTCTCCCTAAATATCTCCACAGCGACCAGTGCTGCGCCTCTCGCATCCACAGGACTCAAAATTTTGGAAATTCAAGATTGTGGTTCGGACGGGCAATTCAACTTTTTACAAATTAAACATTGTAGCCCAGAATGTTTATGAGTTAGGGTCATTTACCTTTAATGTATACTTAAATACCTTTTAAACAATAGGTAAGACATTTTATACACTTACATTTGTTTATACACTATAGTTATTTACATTTCTATCCTTAATACGAGTATGTTTCTGTAAATGTTGCTGCCAGTACCACCCAACCCAACCCTTTTTTTTTTTTTTTTTTTTTTTTTAACGTGTGGAAATCCCCTCGGACCGTCACCCCTCCGGGGTTTGCGGCGGGGTGGTGTGTCGGACTCGGACCGACTAAAACCACACGGTGTGCCACTCTGCGCCTGTAACAGGAGGGATCCGGGAACAGCTGTTGTTAAGACATCCGGACCCCTCCTAGCGCCAGCCCGCTCCTGGTGCGGGCTCCGTCTCAATACATTTTCCTCTCTTTAGGCGACGTCCGGCACACGCGGACGCCGCCCCCTCGCGGCTGGCCAACTAATGCGGGTGGAGGGGAAACCCACCCCGTCCACCCGCGGCCACACTCAGGGCGGCATGAGGCTGTGGTAGGCGGGCCTCCGCCGCCCGGTTCGCCGGCGGCGGATCGGGTCCGAGTGGAGGTCGTCCTCCCGGGCCCTCTCCGCCGCCTCCTTCCGCGAGATTACTACCTCGCAGAAGGTTGCGACCGCGGTAAAACAACTGTCGCTACCGGCCATGGAGCGTACTACGGCCGGTAGCGAGAGATCCACTCCGATGACTGCAGTGAGGGCCCGGCGCTGCGCCGCCCATGCGGGGCAGACCGCCAGCGTGTGCTGGGCCGAGTCCTCACTGCAGTCGCAGTGGTGGCAGGCGGGACTCAGTTCCCTCCTAGCGACCGTGTGCAGGTACTTTCCGAAGCAACCGTGCCCGGAAAGCACCTGCGTCAGTCGGAAGGAAAGGGTCCCGTGCTGCCGCCCTGCCCACTCGGCGATGACCGGCTGGAGAGCCTCCACGGCGGCGAAGCCAGCGCGTGGAGTCTCCAGCCGGAACGACCAACGAGCCATCGTGGCTCGGCGAGCGGCTTCGCGCCACTCGCGCACATCCTCGGGCGGAGGGCGAAATCCGCTCTCCGCCCGGAAGTCAGCCACTCGCCGATAAACTTCGGCGAGCACTTCCGCCTCCAAATCCCACGGGGGAGTTCCGGCCAACGCGCATGCCACCTCCGTAGAAACGGTGCGGTAACCGCGTATGGCTCTGACCGCCATTACCCTCTGAGGGCGCCAGAGGCGCACCCTATTCTGGGCGGTCAGAGCCGCCGCCCACACCGGTGCACCGTACAGCGCCATTGA